AAAAAAAAAAAATTATAATTGTTACTGATTCCAAATTAACGTCCTTTTTGCGATATCTCCATTATTTACAGAGATATGGGGGTTTCAAGTTTCGGCAATTTTTTCTTATTAGAATTTTAAATCAGAAGCAGACCCACAGCTTTGTACTTGCTCTTAATAATATTCTGAACAGTTTCAAAAGATTATTCTGTTGTAAGCAGAATTTTAAAAGCAATGGCTAAGGCTTAGTCTACGTAATAAAAAAAAAAAAAAATTTCGATTGTTACTGATTCCAAATTAACGTCTATTTTGCGATATCTCCATTATTTACGGAGATACGGGCGTTTTAAGTTTTGGCGATTTTCTCTTATTAGAATTTTAAATCAGAAGCAGACCCACAGCTTTGTACTTGCTCTTAATAATATTCTGAACAGTTTCAAAAGATTATTCTGTTGTAAGCAGAATTTTAAAAGCAATGGCTAAGGCTTAGTCTACGTAATAAAAAAAAAAAAATTATGATCGTTACTGATTCCAAATTAACGTCCTTTTTGCGATATCTCCATTATTTACAGAGATATGGGGGTTTTAAGTTTCGGCAATTTTTTCTTCTAAAAATTTTGGATTGAAAGCCGTCCCAAAGCTCTAAACTCGCTTTGAATGGTAGTCTGGACAGTCTTAGAAGATTATTTAGTTGTTAGCTAAATTTTAAAAACAATGGCTAAGGCTTAGTCTGCGTAATAAAAAAAAAAAAATTATAATTGTTACTGATTCCAAATTAACGTCCTTTTTGCGATATCTTTATTATTTACGGAGATACAGGTGTTTGAAGTTTTGGCAATTTTTTCTTCTAAAAATTTTGGATTGGAAGCTGTCCCAAAGCTCTAAACTCGCTTTGAATGGTATCTGGACAGTCTTAGAAGATTATTTAGTTGTTAGCTAAATTTTAAAGGCAATGGCTAAGGCTTAGTCTGCTTGATAAAAAAAAAAAATTTTGATTGTTACTGATTCCAAATTAACGTCCTTTTTGCGATATCTCCATTATTTACAGAGATATGGGGGTTTCAAGTTTCGGCAATTTTTTCTTATTAGAATTTTAAATCAGAAGCAGACCCACAGCTTTGTACTTGCTCTTATTAATATTCTGAACAGTTTCAAAAAATTATTCTGTTGTAAGCANATAATTTCGGTAAGGTCGAGAAGGAGAGAAAACAAAAAATTATGGGAAACCTCTCCGATTTATCTGTCGCTGCAGAAGTTTCGGGACTTTTCAATTCGGCGCAACGTATTCGTGAAAGAAAAAAATGTTCAACGATGGCAAAACGCGATGGGGATGGAAAAAATAAAAAAGAATGAGGAGAAAAGCTTTTTTTTCCCATTTAACTTTGTCCCGACATGGTAATTTAGCGATGCACTAAATAAATTCGGTATCTCGAGGATAGAAAGTTTGTAACGACGAGAAAGAAGGGGAGTGAGGAACAGACGAGAATCAAGGAGGTAAGCGAAAAAAAAAAAAAAAAAAAAAAGAACAGTGGACGAGCTGGGGGTGGGTGGTGCAACGGTATAGCGGGTGCTCGGTCGTGACTGGCAGTGTCTCGCGTGATTAAAAAAAGCGCCTCGGCGTCGTCTTCCCCGTGAAATTGCTTTCGTTTCGATGCTACTCTCTTTTCACGTGCGCTCGTTGATTTTTTTTTTTCTTTTTTTTCTTTCCATCGTCGTCAACTCCGACTTTCTTGTTTTTTCATGTCAAAGATTAAAATTTCTTGTTACAACAGCCGCATGACAATCTTAACTGCCCATCACTTTTACATTGCGCCGAATTCGATGCGGTTCACCGATAATACCTATACACACTCAATTGCACGAGATCTAAAATAATTTTGAATCGAGTAATGGGGTCTTGAGATAATACATGTATAATTGACACGAAAATTGATATCCGTCTTATACTCAAACGGGGGGTGTGTAAGTTGTGAAAATCCTAGTGGTGGATTTCAAGTTGGTCTTGCAAAAATTTTTTCTCCGATACCTTCATCATACCTCATCGATAAAAGGTAAGGAGCAAAGAGAGACATCAACACAAAAAATGACGAAAAAAATTTTGAAGGATATATAAAAAAAAACTGGTAACGTTAAAAAACTCTCCAAAAGATTTAAATTAACGATACGATATCTCTGCAATAAGAGGCAAATTAGATGCTCTCGATACTGACGGTCTGGTGAAAGAGCGGCTGGTTAAAATTTGCTGCAAAGAAGCAACTGATTATTATTTTCTTTTTTCTCATTTTTTAGTACCGACTACTCAGTGTAACACTGAGGGGTGAAAAAAACATTTGAGTAACATTTTGATATTTCCACATTGTGCTTAATTTAAAAAAAATAAAAATAAATAAAAGTACTTATATTAGCTGCGGGTCGTTGTTAAGAGTACGAGACGCAAGGAGAGGGAGCTTAGAGTTCCGTACGTTATAGCTGCATCTTTACTGTAATTCCTGTTTGTCAATGTATTAAAATTGAACGAGAATAAGGATCACCGAAAAAGTTGATAAAAAAATGCAAGACAGGTGCAAGCTCGCGAAAAAAACCAAAAGAATACACAGGGGTAATTGTGACGAGAAAGGAATGGGATGAGGTATATGCAATTACGACCTAGTAAAAGCCGAACCAAACGGAACAGATAGGGTTTAAAGCTCGGCCGTGTGCCGCTGCAGGCGCCAATCGATCAGACTCACGACTTTAGAATTGCGCGCGAGAGTGCGAATGTGTATAATGCACGTATAGGTATACCACCTTCGCATACGAACTTTCGCGCGGAGACTAACAGGGGCTTCCAGACGAAATCTGATACAGCCATTGCACTGGCTAATTGCCGGCTGATCTATTCCCCCCCCCCCTCTTTTGCATATATCTTTCTCTCTCGCTACATATTATAGCTGTGATTCGCCGAGGCCTCGATTTCTGCTACCTTGGGTCTATATTGTTGCGAAAGTTTATTGGCGCATTGCAAGAGTATACGTCCAAAGCTGCTATATACGTGACCGAGCTTCCTTTGATTGATTTTGCTGCACCGGCTCCGGTTCTCTCCGTTTCCTCTCACCGGATTCAGCTACTCAGCTTGAAACTTTGCAGCAAAAGACACGAGCTCTTTTTTTAAAGCCAATTTTGTGTTTCAACACTACAGGATTGAGATATCATGGAAACATGTTTTGAGCTTTGAAAGTGCATTTGCAAGTAAACAAAAAATAAAATAAATAAACAAAGTATTCGTTTTACTGACCCATCGACTGGTGCGAGTACCGATAAATATCGTCCATGCCGTTGTTTGTTGTACACCCGGCAATAATAATAATAATAATATTGTTTTGTCTCACCGGCCAAGTGATTGTCGCGCAATCAGGGCGTCGGAAAGAACTCGAGATCTCGATCCATCGTTATTTTATTTATAAAACAAAAATGAGGGGAGCATCGAGTAAGTCATTCCGGGGAACATTTTATAATCGACTGCACATTCGGTATACAGCTCGCTACGGGCATTTTTCAAAAATTGCATTCCTCCGTTTTACGCGTAATCAACGCTAGTTACACGAAGTTGGAAACGAAAAAAAAAGAAAAAATGTTTTAAAAGTTCTCTTCCGCAGTCACGGAGGAATTATGGCTGTATGAAAAGTTTAAACTACCCCGTAGAAGTGGCAGTAGGGGGGGGGGTGGGGCGTTAAAATCAAACATCTCGTGCACATGCAGAGCTTTCGGCTCGTAAAATGCATATAGGCGGTTTAGGCGGGTGGGGGTTAATGCGCATAGCTCGCGGCGTTTACGTGCCGTATTGAAATATCATACGCCGGGTACGTTACGCTGCGAGATAAACCACGCGCGCGCCCTTATTTTCTTACTGCGGCTAATTGTTACGGCGCTCCGATAAACCCTTTTACCGTCTCCGACACGAACGACATCGACACTCTAATGCTACCTTTTTACCTTCGTTCCATGGTAGATGAGTGAACGGTGATATGCATGTACCTATTGTACTGTTTCCAGCTGTTTTGCACCGCTCGTTTAATGATAACTGTTGGGTTACATTATATAGGTACGTCATAATGTAACCAATGGTATAGCGGCTCGAGTTTTATGGACTCATTTTTACAGCTCTTTTTCAAAATGGAATTTTCTCTCTATCGTTCGGACCTATGTAAAGTCAACCTGTAATCTGATTATCTCCATTGAAAATTACCAGTGGCTCGATTTAAGAAAAAGGTGATATTTAAGATCTGATAAATACACAATGTATACCGATTTTTCTTGTCAAATTCTTTTGTTTTGGATCTCAAGTGTATGGTAATTAAGCAAGGAATATTTCCCCTTTCCAATGGGTAAAGCATAATATTTTAGTACGAAGGAAAGCAGCTCAATCGAATAAAATAA